TTTTATATTCAGGTATAATGTGTTGGGTAGACACACGTGCCTAACTTTGCTCTCTCTCTCTCTCTCTCTCTCTCTCCCTTATTTCAAACACCAAACCAAATAAATAATAGCTAGCGTTTCAGTGGGAAAATATTTTTTATGTATTCAATAGCTGAGGAATTATATGTTTTTCATGATTTCTTTAATAAGCTTGAAGTGAGACATGAATTCCAGGGACTCTTGAAATATGAAATTGAATGCGTTTACTGTATAAAGTTTATACAATAATATAATGTGCAGGTATGATTTGAAACCAACTGTTGATCATGTTTGTTAAATTGTTAAAATATACTGATGCAGAGAGAGAGAGAGAGAGAGAGAGAGAGAGAGAGAGAGAGAGAGATCTTATTATATTAATATATTCCATGAAACTCATATTAAGTTGTTTTCGAGAGGGAATATATTAATTTAATTTGGTTTTTAAATTATATTATTCTTTGTGCTATCTAAATATTACATCTAACAATTAGATCACTTCATATCCACCATAAGGCTCTAATCATATGTTTTTATTATAAATAATTTCTCTCTCACTTTCTTACAGAAGTGCTTTTAAGATATTCTGAAACTTTCAGATCAAATGAAGTCCAAAAATTTCTAAATGTATGAATAAAAGAGAGATAATGTAAAGACTTATAATAATAAAGAATACTTACTCTCAAATATTATTACTATTATTACAGATATTTTATAACCGATTATTTTGTTATCAAATAAAGAGAGAGTGAATCGCGAGTTTCGCTCCCAATCTTCGCATTCAATGGCAATCACTGGGAATGTTAGGCATTATCGAGGAGTAAACCAATGATTACTTCACAATTATGTAGTCATATATAAAAGTATCAGGTCTTATACAAAAACCCAGTATATTATTGTTCAGAAACTATTTATGCCTCATATCATGGAATCCGAGTATAATTGCAGACATTTGCACGCTATATATGCCAATAGGCACCGGCATATCATATCGACGGCAAAGTCCCGCTTGTTTTCAATGTCTTTTCGTGAGGTATACTTCATGTGAACGGAAGCGCATGAGAACAGAGAGAGCATTGAGAGAGAAGGAGAGCCTGAAAGAGAGAGCGCGTGCCGTCAGATATACAATCAGTCCCGGAGTGAGAGTATGTGAGGAGATAGAGAGTAAGAGACCAAGAGCTCAGCCCTTATAACAGGAATTCCTTTTCGCCCAAAGCGGAGACACTTCTGTGGGACCGAAATCTTAGATAAGGTTCGTTTCGATCATAACTTGTAATTTCAAAGCCAAAGAAGAAGAAAAAAGTTTTCTCCAAAAAACTTTCTCTCATTTAAATTTCTATCAATTCATTAGTTATACAGCATTTCTGTGGCAAACATCTCGATGTCATTCATGCGTTAATCTCTTGACTGCAGTGAATGCAAAGTGAATGCAATTCCTTAACGAGAATTCTCTATTGAATTATTGTATTAAGTAATCGTTGAATACTTTATGAATCCTTTTTGACAACTGATAGCATAAGTATTTGGATACAAATTTCTCGGACTTAAGACTTTGTTTGCGAGTCCAGTGAGTCTTTTATCAACGCATACCTCTCTCTCTCTCTCTCCTACTGCCTGTAGTGAACGCCAGGCATACCAGTGCTCGCGGCGGCACTCGCTTTCTTAGTGAGAGAAGAGGCGCCAAAAATTTTGTGGCCAAACGTAGAAGTGGTGTACGAGTGGAGGCATTGGAGGCAATGTTTGGTAGGTTTGGACTCAATGTTGGAGACAACACAACAAATAAAAGCAATACTTGTAAAGAAGTTTAGTCGACGAGTCAGTGATATTAGTTAAAGGAAAGGCAATCCACACACACATACAGGGCTGGTGTGGTTGTGTGAGTGTGACTACAAGTGCGAGACCGTGAGAACAGACACTCCTCTCACTCTCGGGCTAACTATCCATAAGAAAGAGACATTATTTGGTCATATCTTTTGACTCCGTTTTCGGCCCTCTTTTTGCGCTAATCATTGAAAACTGGAATCAAAACGAAAACTAAAACTGTTTTTTAAACATTTTTATACACAAGTCGTTTGATTACTCGCACTCTCACGAGCGCTGAGAGAGAGAGAGAGAGAGAGAGAGAGAGAGCGGATTCACATTTAATGAGTGAATAAATTCTCTCAAAAGATTTTTTACTTTTTTTTGAAGATTTTTCCCAAAAAATATTTGTTAGCATTCCTGCTGTGAAATTGATTGTATTGCTCTCCAGAACTCACTTATAATATACTCTCAAATACTCTCTCACTGTTTGAAAGTTTACTTTTTTGGTGCCTTTATATCCCATAATATGGTTGTGCGCGGGCACTGGTAGTCGTAAGGCATTTATAAGAGCACTGTAAGCACTTATATAAATAATTAACTTTACTTTTTTTCGCTCATATATTCTTTAATAACACTCGACGTTATGTTTTTTAAGTTATACCTCAAAAATCCAAAACCAAAACCTCAAATGCAAACAACAAGAGTGAAGGAGAAAAAATTGGCAAAAAAATCTTTCTCTTTATTTTGCTTTTCCCGCAATTCGTGACAACTATTCTTCTTCTTCTTATTCTCTCCATAAGAGTTCGTAAATAACTTATACATCAAAAGAGATGAAAATCTTATCTCTCTTTCTGATCATAATTTGCTCTTTAAGTTAGAGAGAGAGCGAGAGAGAGAGAGAGGCAAGAAAAAATATTACAGCAAAGTCTGTCTCACCTAATACTGACCGTACAGACAATTCTCTCTTTATTCTCTGAACTAATTTAAACACTAATTATATCTAATCTCCTATTATTCGCTGCAAAACTAATCTTTAATTACGATTTGTCCCATCAGTTTAAACTTTAAACACAAACTTATTTACAAATACTTCAATAACATCACCGATGATGGAAAAAAGTAGGCATAAAACTCAATACTCTTTTCAATATTATCTCAAATACTAATCACACGCTTAAAGTATGTGTGAAATATCTGCCGATAGTAAGGAATGCATAAAATTAAGTGCAAAATAAGTTCGTTTATTTGGAGTTCACTTGTTTTAAAAAGTGTTTATTTAGCGCATATTGTTGGCCACACTCTTATGTAATATAAATGTAAATATAGTAAATTGTTTTGTACATTAAAATTGGAGTTGGCCTGTATGAATAAGGCATTTAGCTGTAGGTGCTCTTTGAGCTGGTACTATGGTGTTTGCATTGATGGTGGGCATCACTAGATAATTATAATACACATTCTTATGATATATTTCAATATATCGTGATTTTCTTCTTTAATACGTGTCTCACAGCACACCTCAACATAAGATTAGAGAAAATAACAACAAAAATATAATTTATGCTCACATTTCAGGGCTTTATAAGTACTCAACAAAAAACACCGATTATATCATAGGATCTTCTAATCGTATTTAATAAATGGGTTTACATTTACTACTAAAAATACTTGATTTCAATATATCGATCTTATTTAGTATAATAGCTGTCGATTGTGAAGTAGTAGACATACATTGTATGAAAACTATAGATTAAAATATCGACATTAAGCCCAAGGGTTTAGCAATAGATTCCTTAAACTGTAAAATTCTTTGGATATTTCGGTTTATGTTGTATCATAATTTTTTATTGCGAAAATTTTCAACTATTTTTTTGATAGCTATTTCAGTATTTCTTAACTGAAAGTCATGAGTTTGTGGAAAAGACACCCTTTGCATGAATACCCCATATGTTAGTCAATGAGATAATAGGCTCGTGTGTGCCAATGAATAACACTTCTCAATCATAATCAACAAAAAATGTTATCAAAAGGTTTTTCTGTCTTTCACTGCAATTATAGTATATTATATACCATTGAATATTGCAGTCAATTCATACAAATGTCATCATATGATTCACTAGACTTCATATCATTTCAAAGAAAAATTTCTTTTGAATAATTTAGTTCCTGTGCTAACCGTCCTATTAAGTAATATTACAAAATAAGTATCACTTTTCTCATATCAAAGTTTATAGTTTACAGAATCTATTTTAGTCTAATATTTACATTTAAAATATATTAATAATAGTTAATGTTTTTGCTGAGAATCACGTTATGCTGTGAGATAATTGTGAAAAATATTTAGCATTCATGGCAATGACAGGCACTGATAAATTTTAAAGTCACAGATCCAGTCGATTCTGGTTTCACTATTTCATCGGTTCATAACAAATGGAAATTTTTTCGCCAAATCCATGAAATATTTATTAACTATAATTTCGGTAACCATTATCTGATACCTACCCACAGTTTAGATGAGAAAGTTTGGGCACAAATTATATATATATATCAATAAATACAGTATATCGGGAATTTGTGTGAGAGTTTTGTGCCAAAATGTTGTACTGATATTAAAAAGTTGATACGTTCAGGATTTCTAGCAAATGTTTTGATATGAAAACTATTTGCAATGTTTATAGTCTGGCGTATGACTTAAATCACATACGACTGTACCTGCAATCGGATGTGATCCCGGCGCTTCATGTCATCATAATCTCATACATATTATATATCACTTGTTATGCAATTAATAATAAAACATTTTTTGTTTTTCAATTCTTGACTTTAATTTGTTTCATAGAAATAAAATATATTGAGATAACAAACAAATATATGATAATAAAAATATTACAAAAATAATTACACAAAATAGCGTAGATTCAAAGTTTTTAAAATTATAGTTTCAATCAATTATAATTCTTATGGCAAACCAGAAAACACTAATTGACAAACAGAAAACTATTTGTATGTAAAAAATGAAAATTAAATATTTGTATAGAAAAACATTTTTCACAATTAAATGAGAAAATTAAGGCAAAAAGTGAAACCAATTTTTCATCAAATTTTATATACAATTATATAAAATATACAATATTACTATTGATATAATGAAGGAATATATAGCAAATAATATATAATCCATTAGAGCACCCGTAGTATTAATGATGGATAGACCTGAGCTGGACTACCAGGGCCTCCACACACAGTCATCGCCGGGAATGAAGGGGTGGTTAAAGTGTTCGGGGAATCGATTGCCTGACGACAGATTCAAAGGCATGTCTTCGTCGGCACTACTAATGGACGAGAGCTCCATATCGAGGATGGGATGGTGGGCGCCGGCAGAGCCCGACGACACAGTGGACGGTGCGGGCGATGGAGGACAGCACTGGTTGGTGTGTCGGATGACACCGTACGTGATGTGGTCGTGGGTCACGTCTAATGAGTTCATACAGTTGTTGAGGTGAGAGCTGAGGGATGTGACCACAATCGGGTCCAGCGGTTGGGTTTGGCAGACAAACTCCTCGACCTGTTTGGCACACTCCGCAAAACCGGCCACAAAGTCGTTGAGGATTTGCTGCGGATTTTCATCGGAGTTCTCTTTGCGCTCCTGTAGTCTGTTTTGATGTAATTGTTGCACATATTTCACAGTCAACTCCAGAATATCAGCCTTTTCTAGCTTTGACTTTGAATTCTGTTTATAAAAATTAAAAACACATTAATATTTGATATTTAATAAACTTAACTATTTTTAAAAGTCACTAAAGGTTGCTTGATAGATTTTAATTATTGTGAATAAATACCTGAATATTTTGTTTGCCGGAATCGATGACCATTTCCTTCAATTGCATTAAGCATTGGTTAATTCTGGCCCGTCTTCGCTTCTCCATCATTGGTTTGGACATACGTTTCACACCATTCTTGTTAACATTGCTATCGTTTTCGGTCACACGAAACGGTACTTCATATGGTTTTGTCATTTCTAACATTTATTTATTACTAATCAATTGCTTTAACACCAAAAAATTAACTTTAAAGCAGTTTTGAAAACTTTTTTTTTAAAAAAAACTTTGAATAAAATCTTTGCCACAAATGCTATATAACGGGCAATACTATAGTAGAAAATCAGTCCACTGTATAAAGTAGAGTGAATGAGCTATCGGTGCTCTCGTGAGGTGAGTGTGTGTCTCGGATCACAACCTGATGCCAACTGAACACTCGGAACTGATAGTCACATAGTTTTGTTGTAAAGCTCTTACAGTGCAGTGCGTGTGAGCGAGAGAGAGAGAGAGAGAGAGAAAGAGAGAGCACAGGCTTATTATAAAAAGTTCTCACACTCGCCCTGAAAAATGTGTGTTCACTACGAGTTTAAGGTTTACTTCCCAGTGTTTCTCTCTCTCTCTCTCTCTCTCTCTCTCTCTCTCACACGCACTGCACTGTAAGAGC